TTTCACGCGAGAACATAAAACACCCCCCCCCCCAATCGGCCCCCCCCTTATATGGGGGAGTTGGCCCCGGGCCCCCGGGGGGCCCCCAAAAAACCCCCGGGGGGGGGAACAAATTGGGGGGAAAAAAAAAACGGGGGCCCCCCCCCCGGGCCCCCCCCCCCCCCCCCCCCCACTCCCCTCGGGTTAACATTACCCGCCGATAATGTACCAAAGTACTAAGGCCGTCTGCTGCTTTGGCGTAATCCTTGAAATTTTCAATTTCACACGGAAAATTACAAAACCAGTAAATTTTTTTTTAATGTATGTTTTCTTATTTTACTGCGGGATGATTGTTGCCTCTCCTTTCTTTGTAGCCTCAAGCAACTCTCTTGTGAGAAGACGTGTTACGTTACGACACAAACAACAGCTTTATTATCTGTAGTAGAAGGCTAGAAGATTGAAGACAGTCAAAAGACATGCATGAATTTGCTTTACATATTCATATAAGCGTTTAATGACGCACAAGTTAGTTTCCGTGTTCCCCACTTTGCGAGGTCGATTTTAATGTCAACATGGCGCAATTCTCGGCAACGGTAGCTAAAATGGCAAGGCTTTTGGCCATTACTCAAATCCTTATCGGAATTTTACTGTTCAGTTTTGGTATTGTCGATCGATGTGTCCCTGGAGGCTTTACTGGTTACGTGTATTTTGGAGTTTGGATTGGAATATGGGTAAGCAATTAATTCCTACTTAGAATGATAAACTAATTAAATCAGTTTAGAAAGTGTCTGATAGAGATGCCTTTTGAAAGTTTTTGTGTTGTATAGGAACAATTGTATTAGAAAAACGAGGCTTGAATTTGCCCAAAGATTAGAAACCACGTAAGAAGCAAATGTATTGACGAAGCGGCAACATTCATCCATACATGGTTCATCGGCTACAAGTGCACTGCATGTTTTTGCCCGGGGAACACACCGAGCGAATCTCCTGTATCTAGCATTTTTCTGCCTTATGGACAACATTTGTACCAAGATGCCGATAGATAAGTCCAAACATCATTGGACAAATATCAAATTTTGCAAAATAAATAGTAAATCAAGTTCAGTAATGGTCAGTTTTTGTGGTTACGAGATATCACGTCATAAGTAGCTGGTGGTCAAGCCATTTTTGAATAAAAATACATGTTTTCTCAACCATAGCAAACATTGCGGCTAAAATCACGCAAAAAGCTTATTTATGTGTTATTTTTCACGTCAAGCACAAAACAATCACTATATATTTCTCGCGGTTCTAACCGGATTTCTAATTCTTGGTAACGTCCGTATTTTATGGGTGGTGGCGCTGCTGGAGGCCTGTGACGTCACCAACAATGGCGGTCATCTTGGCCGCCATCTTGGATTTGCGTGTACGTCCGAGGGTAAACCCCCGGACGTGCAAAGTTAAATACATTTTTGGGGGGTAGTTATAAGTTGTTTACGGAAAATTGGTGGTTAATTTTCCCTCTCGATAGGTCTTTTTTAAAAAAGCAAACACAAACGCAAAATAATTCTACAAAACAAATATTTTTCCAAATTCTCTCTCTTGATCCTTAGCTATACCACACATTTACGTACTGCCATCAGTTTGCCTAATGCCAGACATTCCATAACGTTCTACAGAAGCCGAAGGCACTTTTTCAGGGATTTGATTTAACTTCAAAGCTCAAAGCAGGGCAGTTTGTTTTTAAAGTAGGTTTTACCTTGTATAAACCATCCGTTTTTATTTCTTGTGCTGCAGGTGTGCATTACAGGAGCTCTTGGAATCCCTGGAAGTGGTAGAGACAGGAATTATACTCGTAACTGCTTTGTAAGTAAGACGTATGACTTTAATGTTGCTGTTGACCGTTCCTTTAACTTAAAGGTCCTCATAGGTATATCTTTTTTTTTTCAGGCCGGCGTTTTCATGGGTTTCTCTATTACATCCGCCGTGTTTGGTGGAATAATCATCCTTTTTTACAGCATTGGCATCTCTCTGATTATTTCGAAGGACTCGGAGATCTACTATGATGACGTCGAGTCCTACAATAAGTACTACCATATAAAGGTGGTTATTCTTCCCGTCATGCTTATCATTGGCATAGCTACGTTTTTGATTGGAATCTGGGCAGCGATATGCACCTGTCTGTTGAAACCTTGTTGTGAACAACCGGAGGTACAGTAACCATAACTTAAACTCATCTCGCGGCTAGCTAAACTCTGTAATTCGTGTTTGCCAGCCATATCAAATTCGAATTTAATAACCCACATCTCTGTACAAATAGGGAACAGCGGAAAAGTGGTAAAGGGAATGCGGTACAGATAGATGGCTGCTTTATGCCGATGATCTCGTACTGTTCTGTAAAACAAGAGCTGATTGAAGTTAAAAACCATCATGAACATTCTTAATAACACATGCTTTCGCTTTGGACTCACCATCTCCTTTCGAAAGATTTATTTTGGGGGAAAATTTCATTTTGTTCTAGGCCTCCTAGCGAGAGATATTGCCAATCAATCATATGCTTTAAACACACCTTTGACCAATGTTTTCAAAACACCTTGAGGAAACAACATATTGCGTCGAAGCTCCTAATTAGATTCACTTCTCAACATGTACGTACCGCAATATCTCACGACAATTTTGCAAGGAAGTTTGGACAAGGCTGACTCTCAACCCCACATATTGTAAACTGATCTAAGCTCCAAAGCTGGGAGCCGAAAAGTACTTCTCTTCTGGAGGTCCATTTATTTCTTAATTTATTGCTTAACCTCGAAATAAAAGGGGGAATCAACTACCACTCCAAAGTTCGTTGTAAACTTACAGAGTTTGCATTATTCTAATCACTAACAGGAAGAGCGGTACCCAGCGGATTGCTATGTTATCCACGCGCTTGATGGAGATGTTCCTATGGCTTATCCGATGCAACCAGGTAGCGGTGGACCACAGGATTCCCATCAACCAGTAGTCTTGTTGCCAGGTGCTGGTGCGCCACCTGGTCAGCATGAGATTGTCCAAGCTGCTTCGCCTGAAGGGACGGCAGCGGGCACCCGACAAGAGCAGTTTCAATCTCGTCTTGTGAACGTTAGTTCATCTAACGCAATGTCGACAAGTACAGATTCTTCTCCCCAGGAGACTGAGATTCCTCCTTCGTTCAGGCATGGTAGTTACGCACTAATGAAAAACGAGAAGGTAGGGTAACGAGGAGGCTTTCTGAGTAGCAGGGAGGGGACTTCCAATCGAAAGCTTTCCTATCATGCTCCGAAATCAGATGCGCAAGGGGAAATTTACGCGCTTTTTTCCTATTTATCACGTAAAACTCACGGGAAGCAAAGCGTTAGAGCAGGAGAGTTTTGATCTTCGATTGTTGTATCCCGCATTCCGTAACCTTCGTTCATCATCAGTATGATGGTTATCATCATCATCATCATCATCATCATCATC